TATAGTGAGCTGATGATGATGTATAATTTATTAATTATTGTTATTTGCACCTCGCTAAATTACCATACTAACTACTTAAAAGATTACAATTCGTTGGGCTTTTATTCTGAACGCGTCACCTACCCTGTATCTATCATTCTTCACTCAACCAACAAATTCATTAATACTAAATAGCATCCTATATATAAAAAACGAATAAACTATTAATAGGGATGGATTTAGCACAACTTGTAGATTTAAAAAAATATAAATTAAAAAAAATCGCAAAAAATCTTATTTTATAATTTGTAGGAATAAAAATTTGAATCTTAATACGCGATAAAACTTAATAAAATTCGATTAACAATTTAAATTGCAAAGGTTTCAGATAATTCAATGATTTTAATCGAATCGGAAATTAAAGGGTGTAAATTATTAATCAGTCATCATTTGACAGTTTATATCGAGTGAAACACGTTACGGAATCGATTTTATGATGTATCGATTTACATTACTTTGGTAATAAAAAATAGAACTTAAATGCCCAATTAAAAAAAATGGAATGACTTTAAAATAATAAAAGTTAATTAATTAATAGTTGCCAACACTAAGGAACATCATAGTTAAAACTGCAATGGTATACTAAAATTAAGTCCTAATTTTTACATGAGAACAAACTTAATACTAGCTGCCATGGAATAGCATATCAAATTTTACAGATATACAAGATCCTATATTATACATATAACTAATTTTCGGAATAAACATAAATCCGATTTTACAAAGTGAACCTTGCAACAGATTAATTCCGGAACGAACACATTGGATCACACTTAACGCTGCGAAACTCTACTACTATGTAATAGTTGACTAGCAGCGATGTTTTAACAAATGTCACTTTTAGCTTCACATCACCGAGATGTGTTTGTGCAATTTAAAATGTTAGTGTCGTCACTTGTCGATATTTTCTTCTGCATTTATCGATATTTACTTGCCTCGATACTTCTCCGTAGTGGCGTCTTCTAAGTTACTGTCCCAATCAAACTCGGTAACGCCACTGCGAGGCGACACTTCGCCGAGATGCTTCCATCGATAATCGAAGTCTGAGTCGCGCTTTTTTAAAGCTTCAAACCTAAGAAAAACAAAAATATGTTAGGTTAGGTTAAATTGACCTTTTTTCTATTTATTTTGAAAATATTAGCATATTATTTTTGTAAATTTACTAATATTTCTTTTACCATTCCAACTAAACTCTAGGCTAGTGCTAGGATATGGTTTATGACAATAGTCGAATGGCGGGATTCGAACCCCCGACCTCGTGATCGGAAATCCGTATCCTTAGCCTATTGCTATTGACGCTTCAAGACGCTTTGAGAGTACTGAAACAAATTTACATTAATACGATTTTCTTTAAGCATATTTTGACACATTTTGCCTAACACTTCATTGGCCGCGACACTCTGTGTAAGAATTGTAGACTGATGAGTACTTAACACTGTTATACTGCAAATAAAATGTCATCTTTACAAATTGCCAAATTTCTAAATGACTTTTTATATGCAAATTAGAAACAGGCGACGATTACGATTTACCGGTAACCTACCTCTTAAGCATCAAGTTCTTAGCGAAATCGTAAAGCTCGAGATCGAGGGCGTTGAGGCGTCGTACTCGGGCCACCTGGGCAGGCGAGAGCGCGGCTAGCGTGGCCGCTGACACCGTCGCGTTGTGCTGTGCGAACGGCACCGCGAAACGAAGGTTGAACGTCTCCTCGAACACGTATTGAGATATCTAAGACAAAATAATGTAAGGTCATTTTAAAGACAATTAAAGAAGTTCCAAGTATTTAGGACTAAAGGTCAAAAATGTTGGTGGTAGACATTATACATGAAAATCGTGACCTCAAATAGAAAAACACTGCGTCATGTAAATAGTAATCTTGATAACTTCTAAACAATTAGACTTAAAACTATACATCTCGTAGGTGGTATATAACTGTAGATTAAGCGCAAGTTTGTTGTACAAGTGTTATCAAGTAATACTTGAGACAGGCAAGTTTAATATTTATCATTTGCTAGAGCCATGTGGGGCGCTGTCACATCACGACAAACGCGTTACCGCCAACTGTTTGTGAACAGACTTATGACTGACATGTGGTAGCACAGAGTTGCTGCTGCTACGTGTTATTTGTAAGGATTTTAATCTTTATAAATATTTTATATTATTTCTTCTTACGACTTGATGATGCTAGATGATGATGATGATAGATGAGATATCAAAAGTGTCAGAGTACAAAATTTGCAATGTGTAACAATGGTAGAGCCAGCAACAAAAATATCTTTTGCATGAACTCCTCCTCGACCGGTACATTCCAAGACCACACAGAAATCAGTCGGGATGTGGAAGCAATTCCGAATTTCGTTTACTTGTAACTCTATTTTCCCTCTCTTTATGATTCAGTCAAGGCCTTCGTCGTAGATTTAACACGAAGTTTTAATCGTGAAAAATAAACACAAATTTTTGTATGTTAGTGTAACCGTACCATTATTATTTAGATTCGAGATGCATCTTCCTAGTGCAGCGTTACATATTGGAGTTGAATAGAGCAATTTACAGCTCAAGTATCGGATAATAGCAGTAAGTTTGCACGAGACGCGACACTTGCAGTTGGATATCATAAGATTTATTACAATTTCAAAACGCGCTGGAAATTTACATTTG